GTACAAAATAACAAAGTGTAGGTATAATGTAACCAACCAACTGTAGTAGATGCAGGACTGAAAGTGTACAAAATAACAAAGTGTAGGTATAATGTAACCAACCAACTGTAGTAGATGCAGGACTGAAAGTGTACAAAATAACAAAGTGTAGGTATAATGTAACCAACCAACTTTAGTAGATGCAGGACTGAAATAGTACAAAATAACAAAGTGTAGGTATAATGTAACCAACCAACTTTAGTAGATGCAGGACTGAAATAGTACAAAATAACAAAGTGTTGGTATAATGTAACCAACCAACTTTAGTAGATGCAGGATTGAAATGGTATTAAGCCGGATGATGAATTATCACCTGTTTTAAACATGGACTGGACTAAAACATCCGGTATATTAATCTGGATTTAAGCACTTAGTAACTTATCTGATCCAGTTTTTTATATATATTGGTCAGTCTGGTGACGATACTGGTTTATTGTGTTTCCTCCTGGACTGTTGTTTTCTAACATTACTGAATGTCTTTTTCTTTAAGGTAATATTATCGCTGCTGCAACCAATGATGGATATGTTACGATTATTGACCTGACCACAGAAAAGGTACTCGAAATGTCTTACATTAAAATGTTTTATATTTATTCTATTGATATTTTACTGTAATCGTTTCTTTATAGTATTATTTATGAAATTTTAATACAGGGTTGTTTTAGAATTCTATACACGTTTGCAGTTTGATTTTGTATCATGAGTTGTTGCTTGTCTCCAGCTGACAAGAGAATCTCAAAACTATTTCCTTTAAATAGACAAAAAATAGATTAAAAACTTGTGTATAACACGATTTAAAGCAACAATAGTTAACTCGATGAATTTAAAGTATCGTTTTATTTTAACGACAAACCTGCGCTGAAATATTAGGGTAGACTAATTCGCGACAGAGATTCCAACAGGTGTTAATGATATGAACTCATTTTCAGACTTACATCTTTATAAAATATCCAAACAAACTCGCCATGAATGATCATTATTAGCCTTGAAATGAAAGATTATTAAAAACTTTTGGTACGTATTTCCATTAACAGAGATAAATAGGGATTGAAAAATTGAGAAACATTTATTTATAAAAGTGACTCTTCGAGCGACGTTCGTAGAAGTTTATAAAATAACAAGTGATCTCTTCAACATTTCTTGTTCCTTCCAGACTTTATCTGTAAAGTTTAACTATCTACTATTCTTTATTTGTAAAGATTAACAACCTTCCAGACTTTATCTGTAAAGTTTAGAAAACTCCCAACCTTTATGTGTAAAGTTTAACAATCTTCCAGACTTTATCTGTAGAGATTAACAAACTTCTGGACTTTATCTGTAGAGATTAAAAATCTTCTGGACTTTATCTGTAGAGATTGACAATCTTCTGGACATTATCTGTAGAGATTAACAATCGTCCAAACGTTATCTGTAACGGTTAACAGTCTTCCAGACTTTATTTGTAAAGGTTAACAGTCTTCTGGACTTTATCTGTAGAGATTAACAAACTTCTGGACTTTATCTGTAGAGATTAACAAACTTCTGGACTTTATCTGTAGAGATTAACAATCTTCTGGACATTATCTGTAGAGATTAACAGTCTTCCAGACTTTATTTGTAAAGGGTAACAGTCTTCCAGACTTTATTTGTAAAGATTAACAATCTTCTGGACATTATCTGTAGCGATTAACAATCGTCTAAACTTTATCTGTAACGGTTAACAGTCTTCCAGACTTTATTTGTAAAGGTTAACAGTCTTCCAGACTTTATATGTGAACAACAAATTGACCAACAACACATTATAATCATGATAAAAAAAATATGTAAAGAACATTCAGCGTGTTTCGATAGAATTTCTTCTTCGGTGAATTTTTAACTGTCTTACAGGAATGTTGACATTATGTCAAGTGGATATAGGGTTAGTTTTATAAGAAAACATGAAAGTTACATGAGTTTACTGGTGACACAGAAACCACATTTAGTTGAAACTGAGTGTCATGACAGTTGTCAGAATGAATAATAATCTTTCTGAAGATGATTATACTCTTTCTCTCTATTAGGTGCATTCTTGGAATACCCACAGCGATGGTGCTCTGTACCTGTTGTTCGACCTCAAGGAATCCCTTCTCTTAACTGGAGGCGGTGATGGTAAATTGAGCATCTGGTCGTAAGATTTGATAATATTCTCTGTGTTAACACGTATGTTTGTTATTATGTACGTTTAAAACCTGAGTGAATTTGTTTTGTTTTTAGAGTATTTATCGTACCTTGAATAAAGAACATTCTCTTAACAATGATTTAAATCTGAAGTTGTGGTAAATAAGGGTCAAAATACACCGGTCACTTGGGCCTGGTCAATGGAATCCACACCAAGACATTGTTCAATCTCTTCAATGAGCATATCTAATATCTTCACCTGTCCCTTGGACCTGGTCAACAGAATCCCCACACCAAGACATTGTTCAATCTCTTCAATGGACATATCTAATATCTTCACCTGTCTGTTGGACCTGGTCAACAGAATCCCCACACCAAGACATTGTTCAACCTCTTCAATGGGCATATCTAACATCGTCTAGAAAGGGTATACACCTAACCTTACCTAAAGTTAAATAAACGTTCTACAATATTAAGATTTACCCTTATTCTGTATGGAATAGTGGATTTTTATATTCTTATAAAATTATTTTTATCAGTCATAAGGATATTTATAATTAAATAATTGTACAATAACGAATTATATTCCCAGGTGAAATGCAAACACTACATTTTGTTGCGAGATATCAGTCACACATCAATTTTCTCCTTACTCCAGAATACAAGTCACACATCATCTTCCTCCTTACTCCAAGATACAGTCACACATCATCTTCCTCCTTACTCCAGAATACAAGTCACACATCATCTTCCTCCTTACTCCAGAATACAAGTCACACATCATCTTCCTCCTTACTCCAAGATATAAGTCACACATCATCTTCCTCCTTACTCCAAGATACAAGTCACATCATCTTCCTCCTTACTCCAAGATACAAGTCACATCATCTTCTTTCTTACTCCAGGATACAAGTCACATCATCTTCCTCCTTACTCCAGGATACAAGTCACACATCATCGTCCTCCACAATACAAGTCACACATCATTTTCCTCCTTACTCCAGGATACAAGTCACACATCATCTTCCTCTTTACTCCAAGATACAAGTCACATCATCTTCCTCCTTACTCCAGGATACAAGTCACACATCACATAAAACAATTTCTCTTACAAAATTATTGCAAGATATTAAAATTTTTGCTTTCTTACCAAATTATCTCCTTTATAATCTCATACTGATGGAAAAATGAATAGGTTTGGACGTTTTCATGATGGTGGATAACTGTTTGTACAACAGATTCACAGACTTAACGACATAAACCATTTTGAATTATTTGTATGTGAAATATGTTTTCTCGAGATATAAAAGGTGAGCTTTAATCAATTAATCATTGGTGGCACGGTTTATTTTGGTGTAATACAAACGAAATAATCCAGACGAAAATTACACGAAAACAAAAAACCTGTACAAATTAAAATAAACCAAGTTGGATTGAAGGAACTTCCAGCTTTTAGTCAACTTCACTGTTACCAGCTTTTGGTCACTTCATTGTTACCAGCTGTGACCCCCGCTACCAAAATAATAATAATACATAAATTATCTTGTGAATATTGAAAAATATGAATCATTTTCCAACGTTAGATTAAATTATTAATACAATTTAACACTCGTGGATTTTAGTTAAAGCTCTTCAGACATAACATTGGTTATAAAAGGCGTCTTGATAATAATTGATTTTAAATAATATGTATATGAATTGAAACATTACAAACTATTAAAAAATAACATTCTCAAACACGTATTATTCCATACTTACCCATATCCTAAATCTCTGCTTCCACTATTTCCCAATATTCCCCCTCTTCTAACTCCTCCACGCGATCCATTGAACCACAACTCTCTCTTTTTTCCTGAGCTTCCAGAACTTCCTAGTCCACTTCCACCAAATCCTCCAATTCCGCCTCTTCCACTCCCATGTTTACCACCTCCAGATCCCCTAAAACCTCCTAATCCACTTCCACCAAATCCTCCGATTCCGCCTCTTCCACTCCCATGTTTACCACCTCCAGATCCCCCAAAACCTCCTAATCCACTTCCACCAAATCCTCCGATTCCGCCTCTTCCACTCCCATGTTTACCACCTCCAGATCCCCCAAAACTTCCTAATCCACTTTCACCAAATCCTCCGATTCCGCCCCTTCCACCTCCATGTTTGCCTCCCCCAGATCCTCCTAGTCCACTTCCATGTTTACCTCCCCTAGATCCTCCAAAACTTCCTAATCCACTTCCACCAAATCCTCCATTTCCCCAGCTTTTAAACCCACTTCCACGTCCATTTTCTCCAAGTCCTCCTAATCCCGAGCTTCCACCAAAGCCTCCATATCCATTTTCGAAACCTCCTGTAGATTCTTCAAATCTTACACTTTCTCCAAACCCTACACTTCTGCCTCCACCCGAGTTTACACCTCTTCCAAAGTCATCATGTCCAGATGTTAATCCTCCACTTTCCCACGACCAAGCATAATCACATAGAGTTAGCACGCCAACAGTGACAGCCAGAAACCTAACGTTCATAACGAGTCTTGCAAATAATAGATAATCTGAAAATTCAACATAAGAAATGTATTAGATGAGAGATCATATACTGGGAGCATACATACATTTCTTTCAGTTTTTAATTGTAGCAGAATAAGATGAAAGTTATTCATGTAAATAACAGTCTCTATTATGATTGAGAAATTAACAGCTAGTGTTCAGTAAGTTTACACCGTTCTTCATTACGTTGCCTTATGATAGATAACACTAACCTTTTCACCACAATCCTTTTACCTTTAGATTCAGTCACTAACCATCGAACACAAAACACACATATTTATAGATCACTGATGTACATGAAATTATTTGTTTTTATTTTCTTTCTCATTTTGAAGACAAAACAAGTTTAAGAATTTGTAAAAAATATATACGTACTGTTCTCTACGTTCTCACAATGTACTCCTGTAAGAAGGCCGAAAACTCGCAATTATAGAAAACGTATTTAACGTAGAGAACAATTTCTTTTTACACAGTAGTCTTCCTACGTTATTAGTTTTAAAAAACAGCAGGTTTAAAAATTGTTAAGAGTGGGTTTCCCCAACTATACGACAAATGAAGAACCAGATCGTTTCTGTCACAGTTTGCCAAAATATTTACCATTTATCCTATCATTATCATCGATGTTCTCTGTAAAAATGAAAGGGATTTCCCCTTACAAAACATTTGTTCTTTCACAATTTTTACTGTCCTTTAACGGATAGTTCAGATTATTTTAAGTTGCTAGAATAGGAACTACTGAGAACTCATATTTTTAGCCGTTTAAATTAGCAAATTAGTTCTTGAAAATTAGCATATTAATTAAATGTAGTTATTAGTCTTGTTGTTGTCCAGCTTGAAAGAAAATCCCATTGAAATACGAAAAGAAAAGACGAGAGTGAAAGAACAAAAGAGCTTATGATGAGTAACATCAATAAGAAGTAGAAAAACTGAAATAGTATTCTTGATGTAGACAGAAACTTTAACAGGGTCTAGTAAAAGATACAACAGATCATAACTTATTGCTACATTTTAAATAGTAACCCGGGAAAAGTATGTAAAGATAATCATAAAAATCAGTTATATCAACAAAAGGTCCGGTGATAATATTAGTAATATATCTTAACAAAAAAATTAGAAAATCAAGATAAAGGCTAGCAATTGTATTCCATGTAGTAATATAAGAAAATCAGATGGCAAACTCACCAATATATCCTAAATCAGAGAGTGGGCCCGGCATGGCCAGGTGGTTAGGGCGCTCGATTCGCAATCTGAGGGTCGTGGGTTCGAATCCCCGTCACACCAAACATGCTCGCTTTTTCAGCCGTGGGGCGTTATAATGT